ACGAAATTTAGAATTAGGTTAAAAGCCCAAGGTAAAAAGAAGAATGGGCCTGGCAATAGAGTTGATTGAACTGACTGAAGGGTACCATGAGGAAATCAAGGAAAATAGGTTTATTACTAAGGAAAGTCCTCAGGTCGGAGGGTCTTCAGGTCGGTAGGTCCTCAAGACGGAAAGTCATTAGGACGGAAGGACCTCAGGTCGGTAGGTCCTCAAGACGGAAGGACCTCAGGTCGGAAGGTCTTCAGGTCGGTAGGTCCTCAAGACGGAAAGTCATTAGGACGGAAGGACCTCAGGTCGGTAGGTCCTCAAGACGGAAGGACCTCAAGTCGGAAGGTTTTCAGGTCGGGAGGTCCTCAAGACGGAAAGACCTCAAGTCGGAAGGTTTTCAGGTCGGGAAGACCTCAAGGCGGAGAGACCTCAAGTCGGAAGGTTTTCAGGTCGGGAAGTCCTCAAGACGGAAAGACCTCAAGTCGGAAGGTTTTCAGGTCGAGAAGTCCTCAAGACGGAAAGACCTCAAGTCGGAAGGTTTTCAGGTCGGGAGGTCCTCAAGACGGAAAGATCTCAAGTCGGAAGGTTTTCAGGTCGGGAAGTCCTCAAGGCGGAAAGACCTCAAGTCGGAAGGTTTTCAGGTCGGGAAGTCCTCAAGGCGGAAAGATCTCAGGCCAGTTGGTTCGCAAGTCGGGAGGATTGGCGGTCGGACCCATACTATTGTAGATTGGCAGTCGGGCCTAAAGGGCGGAAGGTCTGTGGTCGGCTTAAAGAGTGAAATATAGGGATAATTTTGGTCTGCTGAGGACGCGTGTCAGCAGGAGAGGGGTTGGAAGACGGTTGGGAAGGAGACGTTGTAACCGTTCGGGTGACGGTTTTCGGTGCGGTTTCCCAGAGAATATTTAAAGGTTTGAATCATCATTTGGCAAAGTATCTTCAATCAACTTCAACAAAGCAAAGTCAAATTTGGGGATCACCACTTTAAATTTCAGTCTTTTATTTTCCAGTTTATTTTCTGTACCCTACAGTGTTTAGAGATTCCTAATCTCAGGCACTAATTAATCAAGTTTAAGGATATTTTCTATATCTTTGAATTTTACTTTATTTTTGTTGAAAAATTACATCAACAAACCTACAAACCAAACCATGAGAAAGACACTAAATTTAAAATGAATAAAATAATATGTACTTTTTTATTAATTTTGAGAATCCATTAAAATCTCACTTTGTAACAAGAGATTCTATACAGTGTAATTTGTTAACAATATTATTAAAAAATCCAACAAAATCCATGGATTTTTAAAATCAATAGATTGTTGAATACACTAAAATTTTAAAAAAACTTTTTAGAATTTGAATTGAATACACAAGACTTTTAAAAGCGTTAATTAAATACACCAAAATTTTAAAAAAAAAATTAAAATTTAGATTAAATACACCCAAATTTTAAGAGTTCGATGAAATCCAATAAAATTTATATTAAATACACTCCTTAACACAATATTGATGAGATTGGAACTGGAAATCTTATAGTCACCAGCCAAGCATCAAAACACAAATGAATTTCTTTGTGCTGATTTATAAATAATAAAAATAAAATTAGAACTTTGTTATTTTAATATATTTGACTATTTCCTTTTAAAGTTATCTTAAAAAAATGTTATACTGGAGTTGTGGACGTGAAAGTTGGGCTGGAGTTGATTTATTTAATTAATATTTGATATATAATGTAATATATATATGATTAAAAAAATAAAAAATATATATGTAATTATTTTTATAATTAGATTTTATTAAAATATATACAATATGGATATCATTATATGAGAATAAAATTTTATATAATAAAAATATATAAAAAAATATAAATATTTAGTTATAATTAACATAAATTAATTTTACTAAAAAAAATAAAAGTTTTAAATATATATAAAAATATTTGTTTATTGAAAAAAGAGATAAAAATAAAGAATTTTGAATAAATTTTAAGTGGGACCCATATCATGTAATATTTTGATAAAAAAAAATTAGGAGTGTAGTGCCAATCAAGATCGAGATGGTAACCAAACACACATTTTCATATAAACTATCACACTAAATTATAATTTAATTTAAAAAAATTAAAAAAACCTATAGTTATAAAATAGAAACAAATTTTAATAAATTAAATTAAATTAAATATTTTTAAATTCACATCCATCCTATTCACTCGAATTTACTCTTTGGATTTTTGTATTAGATTAATAAAATAAAATATTTTTATTAGTTAATGCATGTGTATAAAATAATTTTGATATTTTTTAACCTTTATATTTTATGTATAAATTAACTATATGTGTGATAGTATATTTTTAATTTATTTAAAAGTTAAAAGTATTTTTTTTTTTACTAATGTGTAATTAATTTTATTATAATAAAAAATAATATTTTTAAATAAAATAAACAAAATAAATAGTAAAAATAGTATTTTCTGTTTGAACAAATAAAGTATATAATAGTTGTTGGATGTTCGATCAGTCCGAAAAGAGATCCAACGCCTCCGAGTTTTATACACAGCGGAAAATATGAAATCGTGCGTGGTTGACATAGCTTTGAACGCATAGTTGCCTTATGGTTGTAACAACAGTGTGTGTTCGTGCACAAATCGATAGGTGAGTGAGTGCAAAGAAGAACAACACACACGAGGTTTGTTTACCCAGTTCGGTTTTCCAACCAACGTCTGGGAGATTCCAATCCAGGAGTCTTAACTAAACCAAATACTCGGTTTATATCGTATAAGACACCAACCAAAACTACTCAGTCTATCTTCTACCCAAGTTTCATTTATTTTTACAAACTACAATGAACCGGTTGTTACTACTCCATAACGACACCAGTAGACTAGCGGCCAAGCTAGAATAAGGTTGCATACCGGATGGTTATCTCGTTCAGCTTCGACTCCTAGAATTCTTCTTCTCATCTTCAAACCTCCATTGAAGAACCTCTCAACACTCACTCAAGGTGGAGATAATACAATCACAAATGTTCTAATCGTTGCGTGTGAGATACACAAACATACAAACAAAATATATACACACTACACGAAGGACAAAGTTAACTATGACAACTTTTGGAGCAGTGGGTTCAAAGTCATTTAATGTCATGCATGAGGTATTAAACACTCCACAGTCACGTCTGCATCTCTTCCACATAGGATAAGTCATTTTGTCCCTTACCATTAAAAATCCGATGATTAAACTGGATAGCTACAACAACGTGTCAGTGCTTGTTTATTGCCAAAAATAGCAAAAAGAGAATTTTTGCTTTTTGCTTGTTCCAACAATGACTAATAGAAAATTATGTCAAACTTGAAAAGTATTGATATCATATACATATGGGAGAAGTTATTGTGATTATTTGAGCAAATCAGTAAGCACATAATACATAGATAGATAACACAAAATTTATATGAGGATATTTTATTAATATTCAAAAATTGCATTATATTATTAGTTTGTTATTATTTGAATTATGTCTGTTATTATTTAAATATATTTATTTAATTAGGTTGTTATTATTTGAATTTATTAAGTCAAATGACATGCTTATTATAGGTTTCTATTTTTATTATAAATAGAATGTAATTTTTGACTCAGTTTACAAAATTTATTTTCACATTGTATCAGAGTCAATTATTATTCTACTGAAGTAAACATAGTCTAAAAAACCAATGTATATCTGAATACATTCAATTTAGAATATACCTGGAACTCACGTATCTCTGGTACATTTAATTTGAAATGTGTCTGGAGATCTCCCGTTTTTTAGATTCCACCTGTAATTGTTAGTTTTTCTATTTTTCATTTTGATTCTGTTTTGAGTCATGATTTCTCTCTATATTTGAAGTTATGTCTGGTTATCTGTCTACCATATTTCTCTAAAATCATATTTCCAACTTCTTTGAAAGTTCTGTTGTTTCAAACTCAGAGACCCGTTTTTTTACTTTATTGAGAATCCCGTTGTTTCCGACTCCAGTGAGAGTCCCATCGTTTACGACTCCAATTAAATTAAGAGCACTGCTTACGATTTTGACATGATAGACTATTATGGCTACATTATCTTCGATTTCTCTTTGTAAATTCAAATTTTTTCTGCGACACCACTTAAATTTAAGGATGTTAGAGATATTTTAGTTATTAAATTAAAGATTAAATCTAGTTGTTTTACATTTGATTTTATCCATTACATAGGTTGTTATGATTTAAGTATATCGAGTCTATTTCATACCCTATGAGTAATAATGCTATCTTTTAGTTTGGTTTTACAATTTCAATGAACACTTGTGTTTGTTTTGTGTTTTGGTTTAAAGGGGTATTTTTTATGTGAGGTATATAAAATTGTATAAGTAATATAAAAATAATAAGTGTGCATAATATATTAAATTTTTTGGAGAAATGTTTCGAAAAATTTAGTTAAAAGAACAAAAAAAAAAAAAAAAAAAAGATATACATGCCATTAATTGTATCGTGTACTATAAATATTGTGTTGAATTATGAAGTATTGTTATATATATATATTAAAAAGATAATGATAAGATAAATTAATTTGAGAAGTAATTATTGAAGGCAAATTGCAATCCGACGAGAGCCACATAAAAAAATAACATGCAATCCATATGATGTACATGCCATTGATTCCTTCGTCACAATTCAATCCACAATCCGACACACTACACCCCATTCATTATAAACTAGAACCCCATTTATATATAATTTATTTATTTGAAAATTCTAATATTATATATATATATATGTTTTATTTATATTTTCCATTTTTATTATAAATATGACATCCAGATAACTCTTTAATAATAAGTAATAGAGTATTAATTTTGCAATAAAAAAAAAATGATAATTGAATGCACATGTAAGACAAAATTCACAATTTTCCTTATCTTTTAAATTTACACACGATTATTTCATGACGTATTCAATTATAATTACAAATATATATATATATATATATATATATGATCTTCTTCCCCATGAATTCAGCTGAGAAAGAAGTAAGCTTAGAGCAGCCATGTCCATATCCATATGCATGTCAATCTCCATCAAGACTACTTGCAGAAATCCCTATTTCACCCCTCGTACGGACCACCTTACCTCTAACCTCAATCTCAGACATGATGAGTACTCAACCATCTTCACCATCAAGAGAGGGAAATATTATGAGATCTATACAAGGTACCTACAATTCATTTTTTGTTAAAAAGTTTCTTGTTTTTTTTTTCCCTTTTATTTAATCATCGATTTAAAATAAAACAATCAAAACTGCTTCACTTGCATGTCGTAACCCAAATTCAAGTTAAAAGATTACAAATAAATTCATTGAATTCATAGGTTTTGTTAGATTTAAGGTATTCAGAATTTTTATACATGTGTTTATTGTAGGATTCCAAATCATTCAAATAATAATTGATTTGAAAAAAAACTGAGAAAAATTGCACAGATCATATAAGATCAAAATGATGAACTTGGGGCTCTAGATCTTTCAGAATCATGTTAAAATATATATATATATATATATATCCTCGAATCGATAACAAGATAATTGAGGAATTGAATCATACTTATACCCGGAAACTCGAATTAGGGTTTGTTTGAAAGATCTAATTATATTGTTTATGAAAAACAATGAATTGATTCTCACTTTTTAAAGATTGGATGAGTGGATTCTACATATGCAATAGATTTTGTATTTTCAAATACATATTTTTATTATTTATTTAGAGTAACATTTTTTTTTCACTATGAAAAATATTATATTAAATATTTTTTTAAAAATTATTTATATTATATTACAAAATTAATTTTTATTTAAAGTATCATATGAAGCGCATATAATCAGGGGCCGGGGGAAGCACCTTGGGGCAAGGGTCGGCTTCAATCCCCCTAGGTTGAGCAAAATATTCAAAATTCGAAAATTCGATCCAAATCAAACCGAAATTTAAAATTTGGTTCGGATTTTCGGATTGGTTCGAATTAAATTTTTAACAAATTTTGAATTTTCAGATCGGATCGGATCAGTATACTTAAAATCTGAACCAATCCGAAATATAACATTTTAATATATTTTTTTATTATATATATTTAATATTTTATTAGAAAATATTATATTTTAATATAAAAAAACTCAAAATTATTAATTATATTTTAATATATTTACTTTTATATATTATATATATTTAATATTATAAAATAATAATAAAATATAAAAGAAATTTACAAATTAAAAAAATAATTAAAAATATTTAAAATTTCGGATTTTTTAGTTCAAATTTTGGATTTTCGGATTTCAGATTTCGGTTCGGTTCGGTTCGGATTGATTTTTTCAAAAATTTCGGATTTTCAAATTAGTTTATATTTGGCAAAATCCGAACCGAAAATCCGAATGCCCACCCTAGTCGCTCTTGCCACACCTTCCCCCTATTTTATTATTATTTTTTTTACTTATTTAGACCGAAAAAAAAAATTATATATATTTAATATAAAAGAAATTGAAGGCTCAAAATAAATACTAAAAATCTAGAATTGAATTTTGTTTTTATTTTTTTTAATTGAAATATATATTATTTATTGATTTTTAAAATACAAAAATAAATATTTACAATCATAAGATGTGTTTATTTGTAAAATTTTATACATAATTTTACTATTATAATGTGTTTTTCTCTCTAAAAAATCAAATAAAACACTTTAAGTTATTATATAAATTATACTAAAAATTAATTTTAATCACACCAATACATATTTATATCATTATAAATCTTGTATTTCAGTTTAAAATTATTCCTAGTGCGGCTGTTACTCCCTATTTTGTGGTATTAGAATTTAAAGTTTACATAATTATTGATATCTAAACGATATTTAGAGTTATCTATATAGCCAACACAACATGCATATAAATCAAATTTTGGATTTGTGATATAGCTAAGCACTATTATTTCATATGCTAATAAATAGATATATGCTATTTTATATGTATAATTATAGCTAAGTACGAAAAATCAGCCTCATTTAATTCAATTCTAGTTCCGCCCGGCATATAATTACTATTTTTAAAGTATACCAAAACACAACAATGGTATTGGTAGACTTAAAATGAATTGAGGTGAAAAACTGAAAATAAAATCAAGTTACATATAAAATTTCAATTTCCCGTGACACGATTGGCCACTATTTGGTAAATATTTATGGGTAAACTGTTTTTTTAGGACCCCTTATCATTTTAGTCTCGTAAGTGGAGCATATCGCAAACTAGTCTCATAAGTGAAAAATTTTGTTGTTTTAGTCCTCCGACGCCGGAGACGCCCGCGTGGCTCGCCAAAGGCCACGTGTCTGCCAGGTCAGCGATATTTGGCGGACACGTGGAGTTTATTTTTTATTTTATTTTTAATTTTTTTAAAAAATTATTTTTAATTTTATTTGCCTTTCTTAGTTTTTTTATTTGGTCCGATTGAAAAAAAATAAAAAATAAAAACAAAATTCACGTGTCCGCCAAGTGTCGCTAGCCTAGCAGGACACTTGGCAGACAGGTGGCTTCCGGCGAGCCACGCGGGCCTCTCCGGCGCCGGAAGACTAAAACAACGAAAATTTTTTACTTATGGGACTAATTTGCGACATACTCTACTTACGAGACTAAAATGATAAGGGATTCCAGTTACGGGACTAAAAAAAACAGTTTACCCATATTTATTTTAAAATTCTATTATTCAAAATTCCAAATTTACCTGTCAAATTTAAAACCACACACACCCATTACTTTCTTGACCTTTTATTTTTATTTTTTCAACTTGATTTTGGTCATATAATTGTATCTTAAATTTAATTTAGTTGCACTGGGAGAGAACATATGTTTGTTTGTGTTTTTATTTTTAACTTTTTACTATTAAGTTTATTATTATTATTTATAAATACACAATCTCTAACATGTACATTTTATATATATATATATATATAACACCTTTGTTTATTTACTATTTTTAAATGGAAGGATTATCACAAATATTATTAAAAAAATATAATATACACATATTAACACAATTTACACACTCACTCACTCGCAAAAATCAATAATTCATTATTTTTTTATATTACCAACACGTTTTGATCATATCTAACATAGAAACCACATCAATTCAAAAACATAAAGTGAACACACACATATATATATATATATATATGAAAATCGATTTCCAAAAACAAACAAACAAAAAAATAAAAATATATAGAATAGTCTATTTAAAACATAAGAAAAAAATGATAATTATCTAAGTTGTAAGGTATGCTCCCATTTAAGATCTCACACTAAACTATCATCGAAATCGAAAGCAAACAAATTAGTGACAGCTATTAGAGCACACCAAATTTGCACGACAACAAAACCTTTGAAAATAACACAATTCCAATAGTTAATCTAAAATATCTCATTTCATCAATACTTTTCCTCGTAATTTTAAGTGTGTATTTATTATAGATTTTTTCATTAGTGGTTATTTAATTTTTACCCTATTTTTATATATTTTTTTTCTGTTATTATAATTTTTAATGTTATCTTCTAAAGATATATTATTTTTTCTCAATGCACATCAATCAAATTATTATATAAATACAAAATACTATTGCAAAACACAAACACATATACAAACCAAATACGCCCATAAGTTTTAGATAAATAACTATTGAATGAAATATTTTATGTAGAAAAATTTTGATATGCATAAGTACATTATGATAATAAAAAAATCAAAGAAAAATATATTCATTTTTAAAACACATTCAACACACCCTCAGTGTGTGTTTGTTTGTGGGTTTTAGCTCTGGGGTTTGGATTTTCTAATAGTAAAAAGTTGAATTTAATATTTGTTTGATGTGATATTAATTGAGGTTGATATGATATTTTGAATGTAAAATAAATTTGTAATATAATATGAAAAAGGAAAAGTAATTATTTGGTATGATATTTTTGGAGGAAAAATAAAGTATTAATAGTAAAAATTTATGGTAAAACTAACAAAAGAACATAATATAAATTTCTCTTAAAACTCTTCTAAGATTCTTTTTAATGTATATTATTATTGAAAAAAAAAATCCCTGACGCTAATGTTCTATACTCATTCATAGGGGCAAAAAAATGTCGAACATAAATAGACGTAATGCAACTTCATCATCGTCCTCATCGCCATCCTCCTCTTCGAATGAAAATCATCTTGCTTCATGGTAATATATTTATGCATGCAAGCTTTTGAATTCTTGAAGAAATATGCATCATGAATAAATTTTTACTATGTTTGATCCAAAAGGGAATTTGATATAGGAAAAAGTGGTTGATTGGGTTCGTATTTAGTATAGTTTTACCTGCGGCAGGTCACAAAGGAGGCATTTTCACCCCCCTTAAAGGTAAATATTACTTATCATTCACCGCTCTTTTAATATATATATATTTTTTTTTCATTTATGCTTGTATGTATGATGACGACAACAACAACAACAATTATAATAAAGAATTCGAATGAATGACATTTATCGCACAAATAATTTTTTATCCTTTAAAGTTACAATATAAAATTTATATTTTTATTTTATTTAAAATCAACAAGTGATAGAGTAATAGAATACCTAACCTTTTTAAGCTAATATGTTGATGTCTTTTAGCATAATAGAATATAAACAAGTGATAGGATAAAAATTGTTATTTGTGATCATCATTCAAAATTAACAAAAAAAAAAAAAAAAAGTAAATTAACTTTTTTTTTTTTGGCAAATTAAAACTCACTTATTTTATTGTATACATATAAGTGTTATGTGTATCTAATTCACTTCGTATGTGTGCATATTTAAATAGCCAAGATCGATCAGACGATAACGACAGTAGAGACTGTAACAGATATAATAGAAAACATAGCCGATCAAGCAGATAAGTTGGTAGATGAAATCGAGTCGAAACTTCCGGAAGATAGTAATCTCGTGGAAACAGTTGAGAAGCTGGATAAATTAACAGACATTGCTCTTGAAAAAGCCAAACAAGCCGAAGAAATAGTTCAACAGGTTCGAATTTATATATGTATTATATTTAATTTTAAATTCAATGGAAACAATATTAATAGCTTATTAATTATTTTAAAATTAAATCAAAACTTTCTCGTACCCATGCATTATACTTTCCGTCTCTAAGGGTCACATTTACTTTTTGTATCATTATACATAACATTAAAATATCCTTGTATATGTATAATTTTTTATAAAAATGTCCTTATATTAGTATTATAAGACACTAATTGAAGTATTTTTGCAATTGTTTCTTAATTTGTACTACGTTTTGATATAATAATTAATATTTAAATATCAACACGCAAAAAGTAAATAAGACTCTTAGAGCCGTACGGAAGTAGTATAAATCAAGCTACAGTAATATATTGTTTTCTCTTTTTTAAAGTTTATTTTTCACTCAAACATCATTTTGAATATTAATTTATATCAAATCAAGTAATGTTTAAATTCAAATTGAACTATTTCAAAAAAGAAAAGGTATTTTTTGTTTCTAGTGTCTTAATAATAATAAAATTTTTGTTGTTAACTATTAAAAATTATAAAAATATTTTGAATAAAATTATTTTTTAAAGAATATTTCATAAAAAAGTAATCTTCCATGTCCCTTAATAATCTATCAATTTTTCAATTTTGATCCGTCTCATGACAAAATATCAATTTCATTTTTTTAAGTAAATGTACTATCTATCTAACATTACAAATATCCTTTCAATTTACAATATATTGTACAAATGTCATTACATTTATATCACACAATACTAATAAGATTAGTTTAATCTTTTTTATATTTATTTCTACTATATTTTAATATAATATTAATATTATATTAAGATATTTTATTAGCAAAGATGGAAAAATATTTTTGGGATAGTGTATTTATTTTTGAAAAATAAAAACAAATTAAATAGCCAAAACAGGAATAAACAAACACACCAGCCCAGATTCAATTATCATTTTCTATATATAATACTAGTGTAATATTTACATATACAATCTTCCAAAAATTTTATTATTTGTTAAGCAAATTAATAACGGCACAGATGTTAGAATTTTTTATTTTTTATTTTTGGTTAAATTATATAACACTCTATTGTGTTTTAGTAAAAATGCACAAAATACCTTATATTTTATTTATTGCGTGAAACCCCCTTATGTTATTGTAAAGTTTCCACGAAACACTCTCCTTGACCAAAACTGATATTTAGTTCTAAATAAAAACCTAAATTACGCAAGTTTTATACAAATAAAAAACTAAAATATTTTAAATAATTTTTTTGAATAAAATAAATAAATAAATAATTGATTAATCATTCATTTTTTATAGTTTTATGAGACAAATTTTTATCTGATCTTTTAAAAAAAAACAAAAACTATTAAAATGAATGATTAATCAATTCATTATTTATTTTATTCAAAAAATTATTTAAAATATTTTACGTTTTTTATTTGTATAAAACTTGAGTAATTTAGGTCTTTATTTAGAACCAAATATCAGTTTTGGCCAAAGAGGACGTTTCATGCAAACTTTACAATATCACAAGGAGTTTCACGCAGTAAATTAAATACAAGATGTTTTATGCATTTTTACTAAAAACACAAGGGAGTGTTATATAATTTAATTTTTTTTTTTAGCACTTGTGCTAACTAATAAAAACATTAATTATTTTTAAAATATAATTAGATAATATAAATTAATACAAAATAGTCTTAAACTGTTTACCATGGATGCTGAAACTTAATATAAAACCGTCCTACTGATTTACATAAATACAGTTTACCCTTGTGTTTAAATTTTGGTAACGAACAAAAATTAACCATTAATACAATGGGGAAAATATTTTAGGTGTTTTTGTTCGAAGGGTTTGTGTGGATTTCTACTGTTCACCCAAATTATTTTTCCTCAAAAATATCAAATCAAATATCTATTTTTTATTTTTTATATTATACATTAAAAATCAGTTTTACATTTAAAATATCACATCAATACATATTTATATCACATCATATTACTATTTAAATTTAAATATTTTATTATTCAAATCTTAATCTAAAATCAAAACCCCCAATCTATATTTAAATGATATCAGATCTTGATTAATATATTGGATTTTTTATATTATTTTATTTTGTTTTGTTTTACATGTATACGTCTGATTGGACAAAGTAATTACTCACGATTAAAATAATCATATATATATATTTTTTAATTACTCTCTCCGTCCTACATAATTTATCATTATTTTCTATTTTCGTCCGTTTCACATAACTTGTCTTTTCTATTTTTGAAAATATAATTATGCACTTTAATCGCATTTTAAATTTTAAATTTTATAATTTTTTAATTTTAATTAAATTATTTAATTATCTTAATCTTAATCTATAATTATTTTTACTAATACATTTCTTAATTACTTACTAATTATATTTTACCTAAATTTTTGTCTTATAATACACCCATATTACATGGGATGGAGGTAGTACGTTTTAAGATCACATTGTAATTAATAAAGTGTAAAATAATATATTTGCAGGTAAAAGAGGTGAAAGATCATATATTCGAGCACGTGATCCAAGACGATAATACAGATGACGACACTACAAAGGCTAACAAATAGCTGACCGATTTCTTTTAATTTAAACATAATTATTTTTGGTACAAATAAAGAAGTGCGTAATTCATTAAGATAATGTCATCAATTAAATGTGTACACGATCGATCAATAACATGAATACTTTCTATTATTTCTTTCTATGTTAATTTTTAAAAGGTAAACTGTTTTTTTTAGTCCGGGCCCTTTATCATTTTAGTTTTGTAAGCAGAGCACGTCGCAAACTAGTTCTATAAGTGTAAAATTTTTGTTGTTTTAGTCATCCGGCACTGAAAACGTCTGCGTGGCTCGCCAGAAGCCTGGCCAGGACACCTAGCGGACACGTTGATTTTATTTTTTTATTTTTGTTTAATTTTTTATTTTTTTTTTAATTAGACCAAATAAATAAATTTAAAATAAATTTAAAATAAATTTTAAAAAATAAAAAAAATAAAAAATAATAATAAAATCCACGTGTCCGCCGGGTGTCGCTGACCTGGCGGACACGTAGCCTCCGGCGAGCCACGCGGGCGTCTCCGGCGCCGGAGGACTAAAACAACGAAAAATTTTCACTTATGGAACTAATTTGTGACAGACTCCACTTACGAGACTAAAATGATAAGAAGGTCCAATTAGGGGAATAAAAAAACAGCTTATCCATTTTTAAATGTACCCGAGGAACACATTTTGTACAATTTTACGAGAGACAATTATATAAACTTAATGAAAATTATAACGATTTCTAGATGCAAATATTAAGCATTGAGTATAATGATTAAAATACTTTTTAATATAATATTTTAAATTGTTAAGAAATTATAACCAAAATCTTTTATATTAATGGTGTGTTTACTTGTGAGATTTTATTTTTAATTTTACTATTTAATTGTTATTTTTTAAAAAAATATTAAATCAAACTATTATTTTTTATTTATTATATATCAAACAATTATTTTAATTTAAAATTTTACTATTTAAAATCAAAACCCAAAACCAAAATCTTATAAGTAAACGTAGTTACTGATTTTGATTTAGATGCTTAAAATGGGAAGAAAAGATGTGTTCAGTAGTGGGAATATTGTGAACAAAAGATTGAGAAATTAATCTCTTATCCTGAAACATTATTTTTTAACATAAATAAATATAATATGGGTTAACTGTTTTTTTAGCCCCGTAACTGGACCCCCTTATCATTTTAGTCTTGTAAGTGGAACATATCGCAAACTAGTCCTATAAGTGAAAATTTTTCGCTGTTTTAGTCTTCCGGTGCCGGAGACGCCCACGTGGCTCGCCGAAGGTAACGTGTCCCACCAGGTCAGCGACACCTGGCGGACACGTGGATTTATTTATTTTTTTCAATTTTTTTTTATTTTTTTAAATTAAATCAAATTAAAAAAATAAAAATATATAAATAAAATTAAAAATAAGTTTTAAAAAAATTTAAAAAAAATAAAAATAAAATAAAAAAATCCACGTATCCGCCAAGTCAGCGCCAGGTGTCGGACACGTCACCTCCGGCGAGCCACGCGGGCGTCTCCGGCGCCGGAGGACTAAAATAGCGAAAATTTTTCACTTATGGGACTAGCTTGCGACAGGCTCCACTTACGGGACTAAAATGATAAGGGGGCTAGTTATGGGACTAAAAAACAGTTTACCCATATAATATATATATATATTTTTTGCATTTTAAATTGACCATTAAATTGCCTATTAACTCGCCAAGAAATTCATATTACTTGATACAATTAATACACTACAAATAAATATATTGTAACAAAATTCTGTCCCTAAAGTTCATATAGCTAATGTAATTTCATTACTAATTCCATCTCTAATGACATTAGTAATTGAAAAAATAAATTTAGAAACAAAAAAAAATTGTTACAAAAATAATTTTTTTTTTAGTGATATGACATCAACAGAGTAAAAAAATGAGAAAATGATATAATTGCTTTATATAGGTAATACAACAGTCTCGACTCAAATTTAAGTAATCTAATATATGGATATGACCAAATCTAAATATAATTTACTAAATCTAAAACCGAATATTAAAATATCTTTAACATATCTCAACAATAATTTTTTTAGATAAATTATTCCTTAATTTTAGGAAAAAAAAACTATAAAAATTATTTATCAATCATCTATTTAATGGTTTTTTTGGAGACAATATTATTTAATTCTATTTCATATGTATGTTGTGTTAATATATATTATATGTTGAGATCAATGGTAGTACCGAAGTCAATTATATTTTATTATATTAATATATATGTAGATATTGTATGTTGGTCGATAATATGTATTACTGATTTATATTTTATGTGTATCAATATGTTGTTGATCTAATACTATTATAACGATTGCCCCTCATTGATAAAATTAAAAATAATATAAGATATGTTCATTTTTTATTTTAAAAATAAAAAGTTTGTTCATTCAACAATTTTTTTTTAATTCAATTTTCAATATATATAAAATTTATATTTATTTTACAAAAATATTTAATTCAATAAAAAATATTATTTTTTATATTAGCAATATAATTTTTTATATTTCACATAAAAATAAATAAATAAATCTCAAAGCAAAACACTAAAAGTATATTTCTTTTGATGAATTTGAAAAATATTTAATTTAAATTTGATATGAAAATAATACTTGATGAGATTATTTTGTGAAAAAAAATCCTAAATAAATCCAAAATTTAATGAAATGTGATTCAATAATGTATAATATGCGTGTGTTTCTATTATGGGTTTGTTCGTTTGAAGAATTTTACCAAAATTTTACTATTTATTCAAAATTTTTCCCCCAAAAACATCAAATCAAACACCTAATTTTCATTTTTTATATTATACTAAAAATTAATTTTACATTCAAAACATCACATCAGGCCATCTCCAACCCTCCACTCAATTTTTGCAGTTGCTACAGTAAAAAATGCAGTTAATCTACAGTAATTTTACTCCAACCATAAACTTCAATTTTTACTCTAAAAAGTATATTTCCTATATATTCCTCTTTTATATTATTTTATATAATTTTTCATATTTATAAATTACGCCCCAACTTTAATTTGTTTTTACATTAGATCCATACACATATAATTTATAAATTATTTAAAAATTACATATATAAAAATTAATATTTATAATTAATAACTATTACAAATAAAATAATTTTAAATAAATAATTAAATGCTATCAAGACAAATAAATAAAAATTATCATTTTTCAAACAGTAAAATTATATATCGATTTAAAAAATAAAATTATATTTACTTTCCAAAAACTAAAATTATATTACTTTTAAAAAATAAAATTATATATTATTTTTCAAAAAAAATAAAATTATATCTCATCTATTAAAAAATTAAAATTACACAATACACCAAAAAAATACCAAAAATATAAAAAACACCACAAAAACTTCAGTGTTACTTCAAAAATGAAGTAAAACTGTTGATTGCTGCAAAAATAGGGGAGGGGGGTGGATTTGGGGTGGGTTGGAGCCCCTCTCCCCATTTTTGGTAGCAATGGGTTGAAGATGGTCTCAACATTTATTTATATCACATTATACAATTATTCAAATTCAAAATTTTTACTATTTAAATTCCAATTCAAAATTCAAACCCCAAATAAGGACACCCCAAATAAAGACACCCTATATAAATGGAGATAGATGCATATAATATAATATAATATAATATATATATTTATATATTCAATGGTTTGAATTCCACACGTGTTTTTGGCAGAAAATATTGACCGTGCTTTGATTGCTTTCTGTCCAAACTAGTACGTCGGCAAACCACTTTTTAATATTGGCCCGCTACATTCGGCTTTATCCTCATTAAGGTGTTTTTCTTTGCCCAAAATTTTTAGTTTTTTACTCTATTGGTCTCAAATATTGTGTAACATTTATGTTTGACACAATAATTTAAATGGAAAGTATTAAATATGGTAATTTGAGATAATTTGAATATTAATTGATGTGATTGGAAAAAAATAATTATTAATTTTTTTATTTGAGTGAGGTAATGGAATAAAGTGAAGTGTATATTAATATATATATATAAATATTATTAATTATTTCTAAATTTAGAAATATTGCAATGAGTTTGTGACAAACAAAAAAGAAAATATTGCAGAGTGTTTGGAACGGAGAAAGTACTGCTACAAATATATATTCTTTTTTTACAAATATTTTATTAAACAATGTTATTTTAATATTAAACTTCAATTAAATTTTTTCCAAATACTCCATTTTATTTTTTTTCTAATATGTAATTATTAAATATAGTTTCTTAAAATATTATATTTGTTGTAATATTATTATATGAATAGAAAATAAAAATATTACTCTCTATTCCACTTAATTTGTCTATTTTTCCTATTATCGTTCTTTTCACATAAGTTGTTTTTTTTAAAATATAATTATATATTTTAATCGCTTTTTAAAATTCATAATTTTAAAATTATTTTATTTAAACTATTTAGTCATCTTAACCTTAATCTATAATTTTTATAATTAAATCATAATTATTTTTACGAATATATTTTTTAATTATTTATTAATTACACAATACCTAAAATTCTGTGCCTAAGCTAAATTAGACAAATTAGTTGAAACGGAAAGAATAATTATTTTTACTATTAAATACTATTATATATATAAATATAATATATGAATTACATTGTGTGTTAGCGTGCTATTAAAATATACTCCATCCGTTCCACATCGGATGTCTGGGTTACTGTAGACACGAGAATTTAGAATAAGTATAATTAATAGATAATTAAGAATATATTAATGAAAATAGTTATCCTATAATATAAATAATTATAGATTAAGGTTAAGATAGCTAATTAGTTTAATTAAAATTAAAAAAAAAATTAAATTAAAAAGTTTAAAATGAGATTAAAGTGTATAATCATTTTCCAAAAAATGAAAGTGACGTGGGATGTGGGATGAATAGAAACGGTAATATGTATATGATAGGTGGGACGGAGGAGTATTTATACATGGATGTATGCTATATATTGCAATATATTATCTTCATCTTGAACATGACACCACAATTACTATAGATATGAAATTTTAATAAGGGTTTAATTATTAAATAATTAAAAATATATTAGTAAAATT